CCAGCAAGATGGAGGTCGCCGAGCTCGCCAAGGCTCTCGCAAGAGATGCGCTGTGTAAAAGCGGTTTAGAAGGTTTTGGGGTTGAGGGTTTAGGGGGTTAAGGTTTCAGGGTTCAGCATTCCAGATGCAACGCCAGTATAGAATCAGGTCACTTGTATTTTCGGGGTCAGGGGTTTAAGGAGCAGGGGTTTAAGGTCCAGGGTTGAGGGCACTAAGGATGGGTTTTGGGTGCCGAAGTCCACAAGAGTAGCGCAGATGTACCTTCTGGGTTCCAGTCAGTATGAAGATGAAAGTTTCGGATTTCGTGGGTTTCTATAGGGGTACTCGGCGGACGCAATGATTGCTAAACCCTAACCTTGCACGTTAAACCTAAAACCTTAATCCTAACGCTATACCATAACCCCTAACTTATACCCTAAATCCTAAATTTCTAAAATTGCATCATCCTAAACCTCCCATTATGCGGCTCCTGCTTCAAAGCTTCGGGGCCTCAAGAGTTTCTTATACCATTTGGGGGGCCCCTGGTTGTAACCATAGTATTATACCCCCAAATCCTGTTCTAATTTTCAAGGCCCTCATATTAGCTTTCTAGGTCTCCAGTCGGCCCGTTTCCCGTTTCTGTAGCCTGAGGTGCTTCGTAAAACCTAAGCAAACGCCAAGGAGGCAGCCGTTTTGAGTTCTTCGGTTACTCGGGATCTTCGATCTGCTACTCACACAAACTCAGAGGTGGAACAGCTCCCCCAACGCCTGTTTTTCGGATCCAGGGCTCTGTGGATGTAGGAGCTTGGGGTGTGGGTTTGAAGGTTTTGCTGGCTTTGCTGTTGCAGAAATGCAACGGCGGCGCAGAGCCTTAAACCCTAAAACCTGAATCATGAAGTCTAAAACCCAGACCCTAAACCCCTAAGCCGTTAAGCCAGACTTTGACTTTCTTGTAGGGCTTTGGTAGAGCGGGAGCTTGAACCCGAAACGCTTACCAGCCAGGAATAGACTAAAGCCTGAACACGTAGCGATACTATGCCTTGGGTTTTTTGTTCTGTTTGTAGTAGTTATACGAAACCCCCCAGAATCTTATTCTAATGAGGGAGGCTGACCACTATGAGAACACCTACAGGTTCTTTCAAAGAAGCCTTGTACGGAACCTTATTCGAACGAAGAAGACCTCTACAGTAAAGAGTCGAACTCATGAAAACCGGTGTGGAGGTTCGACAGGTCTTCGACAGCGCCGTGGAAGCAATGGAGAGATTCAGGGTTTAGGGTTTAGACTCCGAACCTCGTAAGATTCATAACCTCACCATCACTACCATATTTGCGGACGTAGAGGTGAGGGTTTAGTTGAATAAGCATGACAATCTTTTCGTCGTCATCGTCGTCATCACCATCATCATCGTCGTCATCATCATCATCATTCTCAAAATCTTTATCATCGCCATCACCTTCACCATCATTTTCATCATCTTCATTGTCATCATCACCCTCAGCAGCAGCAGCAGCAGCAGCCGCAGCGGCAGCAGCAGCAGCAGCAGCATAATTGCAATGAGGTACCGCCCACAACAGCATGTCCACCATGTTCAGTACCATCGTCACCAGTATCAACCTAAATCCTGTCGTGCTCCTCCGCATTCTCGGCATCACCAGCACTATGAGCATCCTCGACAGTGTTATCATCATCGTCATCATCGGCAGCAGCAGCAGTAGCATCAACACCAGTGGCTTGGATCTCACTGACCCACAATTGAACGGCCGCATGACCGCAGTAATCCCAGAACATCAAGCCACATCTACTCAATGCTCCAGCATGTCCAAAAAGGTATCGACCGGGATCACGACGGCTTTATCTCCTCCACTGATATGGAGGACTTCCTGAATGGGTCGCTTTGCTTCCAACAGTTCGGCAGCTACTTGTACTGGGGTTTCGCTTGCCAGCTTTTCTTTGCATGTAGTTTGCGGTTCTGTCGGTGCAGCTACTGTTGTGGGCAGGGTCCTAGTAGGTACTGTTATGGGGGATGCTTCCCCGAATTCAAATCATAATAGAAATTCCTAATATAGAAATCATACGTTTTACTACACAGGTACTTTGGACCCTTTTTGGGGTTTGGAGGCAAGGCAGCTCCTGTTTTGCAAGATCCTGTTTGGCTTGTAGCCTGCTTTCGCGCAGCGATCAAGCAGCTTTTCATGACTGCCCACCAAAAGTGAGCAGGAGTAGCACGTTTTTTGCCATTTATGACAAAACTGCCCATGTTTCGCGACCAGGGCACGTGTAATCCCACCTTGTAGAGGTAACAGGAGCCTTCTCCGTCAAGAAACTGCATGCCGCATTTAGCTTTCATAAGGAATTGTTGTTTAGGGTTCAGGGTTTAGGGTACATAGCCCTTCTTGTGGCGCAATTCTCAGGTTCACGGGCCGAGTGGTGAGCCCCCTGTGTGTGAGTGTGAGACCACACTCTTTGTTTGATCGGGACTCGAAAGGCTTCGGCCTATAACCGCCTATACCCCAAAGCGAAGCACCCGGAGCAGACTTTGTATCGTGAAGTCAGGGAACACGCAGTATGTCAATGATTCGTGTTCGATGTTCGACCCAGTTAGCTTCCATACTCCCTTAGGGCACGGGCTTGTATGAGCAAAGTTACCTAAACGCAGTATAGCAGTATAGAACATCGACCGGGTCACAAAGTTTGGGAGATTCCCCCGAAGATGTAGGGTTTAGGGTTTATTATCAGAGTTGACAGTCAGCACAGCTCAGGTGGATGTGCCGCATGGGGCGCTTGGCCCACTCTCTGCCACTTGCTCTCGCACTCAGTAGACCCTGCATGAACATGAAACAAACTAATTCTTGAAACCGTAACCCTTAATCGTAAATCCTAGTGATATCCTAAAGCCCTAAACCCTTAACCCTTGCAGCCGTAGCCCTTAAACCTATAAAACAACCCAGAACCCTAAACCCTAAACCTTGAAGTGTAAAGCTTTAGAAACCCAAGGCCTCTAACCCGAAAGCCTTTAAACGAGCTTTCAATAAGCGTTTATATACACCCAAGACGAATGCTTTGAAGGAAGAAGGAAAGCCTTGAACAAAAACAGACAAACGAAAGGCTGAGGCCGAAGCCAAGGTCCCAGATGCCTCAAACCCGCAGCAGCGCTTCCGAACCTGCACAATGTAGGGACCTTAAGAAGCACCTATACTATCTTAGTTGTTCCATTTGAAGGGTTCCTTAAAGGGCTCTATGAGGGATCTATAGTAGGGTTCTATAAAAGATGTGCATCAATCATGACGTATCTATAAAGGCTACGATAGGGGCTATTACAAGGAATTAGTATTGGGGCTTGACGAATTACCTATACTATTTGGGGGGTTCCTCATTCTAATTTTAGTATACTACACACCAAAACTCTATTCTGATTATTAACGCCCCTACATCAGTGTCAAGCTGAACTCATAGCATCTCATCCCACATGGGGGTCTGAACGTTGGGAATATTCGATCATCTAGGTTCGAAACTGGGCTCCTTTGTTCTAGTCACAATCCTGTGCTTCCGCAGTTGTACTTAGATACCCTTTGCACCACGCGAAGTCCAGGAGAACATTGTCCATGCCAGCGCGGCCAAGCTCAGATGTCCACGCACTGCTGCAGCTCGCTGACTTGGACGAGGACAATCGGTTTAGGGTTCAGGGGTTTGGGTTTAGGGATATTCCGATTGGCATACAAAGCGTACAGGTAAACGTTGATATTGGCCACAAACATGAATACAGACATACAGGCAGGCCATAGGTAGACAACGAACAACCTGATACAACATCTACCTGCAATTCAATTATGTGCTTGCATGAATGACTAAATATGCACACAAGTTTACAGACTAATAGAAAACAAACATACACGCCAAAATGTGTATTTATAGATATGCTTAGACATATATATATATATATATATATAGAGAGAGAGAGAGAGAGAGAGAGAGAGAGAGAGAACGAGAAAGAGCGAAAGAGAGAGAGAAAGAGAGAGAGAGAGAGAGAGAGAGAGAGAGAGACGGAGGGAGGGAGGGAGGGAGGGAGGGAGGGAGAGAGAGGGAGAGAGGGACAGAGAGAGAGACGGAGAGAGATCATTTGCATGCCCTGAGCCCCAAGTGGCGGTGTGGCGGTGCCAGCTGTAGTGGCCGGTTTTTGTTGTGCTTGTGTTGAAATACCGGTTGTGGTGGCGACGCCGGTGGTGGTGTCGGCGGTGGTGTCGGAGGCGGTTGGGTGTTCGGATATGTTTGGTATTTTTTTTCGAACCCTTGTTGCGGTCGTCTCTACTGTGTAGTTGCTGTGTGCTGGGTTGTTGAAGTCATTTATTGACTCCTTGCATGTCGTTTCTTGCCCTGTCTCCTTGTCAGTGCAATCCAGTTTATTGCATGCCATTTCGCTTCATTCTTTCATTCATTCGTTCGCCCGCCCGTTTGTTCGTTTATTCCTTTATGCATTCATTTGTTCATTCATGATTCGTCCTTGCAGTGACTCATACACTCGACAACACTCTCTGCTGTCTTTATTTTGTTGACTCGTCTTTTGATTCGGTTGGTAGGTATTTGTTGTTGCTGCTACTTTTGTAGTTCGTGCTCTTGCTGTAGCTGATGACTGTTTTGAATCCTTACCCTAGACCCTACACCCCTTAAACCCTAAACCCCTATAGCCTATAGATCCCTTCTACATCCCCTTAAAGGAACCCGATAGATCCCTTTAAAGGAACCGTACAGATCCCTTCAAAGGAACCCTATAGATCACTTTAAAGGAACCCTAAACCCTTAATCCCTTAATCCCTAAACCCTAAACCCTAAACCCTAAACCCTTTCAAGGCTCAAGGCCGAGGTTGAGTCCTCTTGTGCTGCTAGGGCACGGCGCTCGTGGTCCAGTTTCGCGGGTCGGCCACCAAGTGCGTGATCCGGGACATTGTCGTGCAGCTGGCGGGTCGACAAGGCGCGGGGGGTGCTCGATTACCTGTTTCTCCGCTTCGTGAAGGGGGTCTAGGGCATGAGTCGCACGGTGGGCAAGAAGCGTGCGGAGCCGCTCTCTGGGGAAAATGTGTCTATCCCCGCTAGCTCCGATGACGAGAATGTGGATGCTCCTAGCCCTGCCAAAATTGCGAGAGCGAAGGAGGAGGACCGGGCTGTCACCGTGTCTGACTTGAAGGCGATCATGCTGGAGCAAACCCGACAGCTCCAGGCCAGCAACCAGGCTTCGGTGGACTCTGCGGTGAATCGTATGGAGCGAAGCTTGGAAACCCGCCTCGGGGAGTTTGAGGGCCGTGTGTCTGGAATGGATGATAGGGTCGCAGTGTTGGAGAAGCAAATTGAAGAATTACTTCGACAGGGCAGTTCGACACCTCAGTTTCGGGGCTTGGCCGGAGACGATTCTGCCAGGCGTGCTAGAACACTGGTGTTTGGAGGGTGGGCGCGAGACTCGCGTCGGCGTGTCATCCTGGAGGAGCTGAAGTCCTTCCTAGAGAGCCTCAAGGTGGCGGACCTCTTCGACTCGGAGCCTTTCACCACAGGGGCCAGGAGATCGATGGCTTTGTGTGGATTCCAGCAGAGGGCTACTGAGACGTTCTCTGACATGCGAGCTCGTATGCATCGCATCGTGGTTGCTTTCAGCAAGGGTGGCCTCTCCACGAAGGCCGGGGGCCGGGCATGGTGCTCGTATTCCAAAACGAAGCAGGAACGTGCCAAAGGATCGCACGCGGGCTGGATAAAGCGTGCCGTGTCGGAGCTCAAGCCTGAGGTCGCGGCCGACTTGGAGATCGAGTGGCAGAGTGGATCTGTTTGGTTGGAAGACACGCTGTTGGGCAGTTCCGATCTCCCTGTTCCGCCTGGGACCGATATGCGTGGAGTTCTTGTCAACGAGGATCAAGAAGGGAAACCTTGGGTATCGGTCAAACTGCTAGCACGTGACTTAAAGCTCAAGGACAAGGACGTGAAACAAGCCCTGGAGGGCACTCGCCGCTGAGCCTTTGTTTCGCCTGCTGGAGATACTGACAGTCAGCTCAGGGTCTTTGGCTGGAACCTTGGAGGCGTGGAGGTCCAAGATCTCCCGCAGCTGATCTCGGATGCTGCCCCTTCGCAGCTGGAAAAAGGGTCGCTGGTCGTCTTTCAAGAGTTTGCCAGACAAGAACCGGGCTGGTCAGTTGCTACTCAGAGGTCCTGGACTGTCCTTTCACATCGTCATGCGTGCTCTTGGAGGGGTTGTGGCATCATGTTTGAGGCAGCTGACTGGTGTGTGCTACGTCGTGTATACACGCAAAGGGGTGTGTGGTTCAAGATGCGGGCCAGGGATGCAGATGAGGCACTTTGGGTTGGCACGTGTCACTTTACACCGGGGTGCACCGTTGCCCAATTTGAGGAGGAGGCCGAGGACCACTTCCACGGGTTGCCCAAGAATGCGACAAGGGTTGTCTTCCAAGGAGACGTGAACACGCCCTTTGGTTGGGTGAAGGACGAGGCTGCTGTCACCCCGATCGCCAGGGAGGGAAAGGGTGGCATTCTCCTGAAGATTCTCCAGGAAAAGGGGCTTTGTTGAAGAGTGGCACGGATCATGAGCTTCTTCAGGGGTCTTTCCTCTCCTCAGGGCGGGAGAAGCCAATCAGACGCCAGACGAGGCATAGGGTTGTCTGCAAGTCCTTCGGGGTCGTCTCGCAGGTGGACCACCAGGTGCTTTGTGACCTGGCTAGAACGCGCACCAAGCCTGCCCCGAGCCTCTCCTACCGTGATCCGGAAAATGTGAAGGTCCTTTTTCGCAGGGCGAGGGTCAGTGGTTCTGCTGCCTCTTGGAAGGAAGCCCTCAAGGCTCGCAAGGTGGCTCGGAAGCACTGGGAGGAAGAAAGGGTTCTTCGAGCTGCTGCTGGGGACTGGGATTGCCTGCGGGAGGTCAGGGGTAACTCTGGCACGGGGTGGCAGGTTGAGTTCTCGGTGGCCCAACAAGATGATCCACACAGGGTTATTCACGACCATTTCCAAGAGGTCTACCGGGACCCCAGGGTTTCCCCACCGGTCACGATCCCAACTGGCGACGTGGAGGCCTTCACCTTGGATGAGCTGTGGACTGGTCTGAAACAGCTCAAGGGGCAAAAGGCGGTAGGCTGCGACTTGACTTCCAAGGAACTCCTAGTGGGCATCTGCAACGCGGAGGGTGGTGCTGAGCAGGTTTTGGAGTTCTACAATAGGGTCCTGGCCACGGCCTCGATCCCGGAGGACTGGAACACACCGTTGCTCATCATGCTCCCCAAAGTAGCACAGCCGAGGCTCCCTCGGGAGCTTCGTCCCATCGCTCTGGGCTCATCTGTTGGGAAACTTTTCAGCCGTCTCCTCCTAAACCGTAGCCTACATCGGATCCGTCTGCTTCACCCGCCTCAGTGTGCTGGAGTTCACCGTCAGACGAATGACTACACGTACACGCTCATCCGCCTTTTTGAACTTGAGCGGGAGTGGCAAGGGGGCATGGCTGCAATTAAGGTTGACATCAGCCGTGCTTTCGACGATGTTGATCGTGATGTCCTACTAACGAAGCTGGAGTCCAAACTTGGGCCGGGAGCTGAGATCCAGTGTTGGAAGGCCCTCCTTGCTAATAACGCCGCGGTTGTCTCTTCTCCTTTTGGTGAATCCACGATCAACATGTCGAAGGGGATAAAGCAGGGGGGGATCGAGTCCCCGGCCTTCTATGGCATGCTCATGGAGTTAGCGGCCCACGAGGCTGCTGAAGGGTCACACTGGGGTTTGCAGGGCAGGCTTTATCCGGACTTAGGGTGCCCGGACGTCGCGATGTTTATGGACGATGGGGTCTTATGGACAAAGGGCACCTTGGAGCTACAGAAACGCATCAAGGACTTTGCACGTACCCTCCTGGGATTTGGCCTCAAGGTCAACATTGCGAAATGTCAGCTGTACTGTTCCCCCAAGTGCCAGGGCCCACGCCAGATCCAGGTTGATGGCACAGTGCTGCTTGCCGGCCCTCACCTCGACATCATGGGGTTGCGGCTTTCCGTGGGACAGTCCATTTGCAGTCTTATCTCCCCTTTGATGACAAGGTGCCGCGCTAAGTTCTGGGAGGTCCGGCATGTCCTTCGTTCCTCAGGGCCTTTGCTTGCTCGGGTTCGCCTTCTTCAGCGGATTGTGGGGGCTTCGGCCCTGTGGTGTATCGCTTCGGTGCCTCCAGATCGTGCAGCCATGTCGATGGCCAACTCTGTTCAACTTCAGCTTCTGGTTTGGCTTCTCAGGCTCGGCCGACGCAAACATGAATCCTGGGTTCAGTTCCGCCAGAGGGCCTTCCGCAGTGCTCGCGCAGTTCTCAACAACGCAGGGTGTGAAAGGTGGTCCACCCTATGGTTACGAAGATACTGGCAGTTCGCTGGCCATCGTGCACGTGCCCTTCACCTTCCTTCCCCGGTGGTAAGTGCTTGTTTTGAAGGGTTTCGCACACTACAATGGTGGAGGGTTGAGAAGGTCAGGCCCGGGGGCATCTCGCACAATGGCCAACACTTCGCTAGACTTACTCTTCTCGAACAGAACCTTGATCGAGCGGCTGGGGCTGCGTGGCGGGATGTTGCACAGCATAGGGATCAATGGCATGCACGTGAGCGAGTCTGGGTCGACAACATGGACCTCCCTTGGTGCTCTGGAAGACAACTGAGTATAGGTAACGCCCTTTAGTCTCTGGGAGTCCTGTACAGGGTGTGTGTCTTTTCCGAGGGTTCACGAATGAAGGTTCTGCCTGATCGCTCGAGCTCTCGAGTCAGTGACACACTACACGACCTATGATCAGGGATCAAACACCGAAGCTGTTGGAGGGTCTGTTCGTGAGAGGGTTCACGCTGGAGCTGGAACTGAAGGGGTCCATGACGTTCCGAAGTGACAAATGTGGGTGAAGTCAGTGGCAGTGGCATTGAGGAGTACTCTGGTGACGTCTGAGTTACCCAAAACCGCTTTCCCAATAGGGATTCTACCTCTGCTTGGTGGAAAAAGGCGTTCAAAAAAAAAAAACCCTTAAACCCTAAACCCTAAACCCTTAAATCCCTTAACCCTAAACCCTTAAACCCCTTAACCCTTAAACCCCTAAACCTAAACCCAAGTTTTCAGATCCGACCCAGGGGCGCCTGAGGACTCGAACACCGAACTGCCCCACGCTCCTTCGGGATTTTTGGGGTGTAGCGCTGCGTGGGGTGTAGGGTCGAGCCCTTCAAAGTTAAGGGTTTAGGGTTTGGGAGTTTAGGGTTTGGGATTTAGGGCTCAGGGTGTAGGGCTTTAGGGTTTTTTGGGATGTAGGGTTTAGGGTTTAGGGAGCTGTTTTGCCAGGATTGACGTTCGGGAGCGTAGCATGTTGTGGGCAGGATGGCTCCATCGGTTACACCGAATTCCTTGTTGCATGGATGCTGCTTGGCCAGGGTGTGGGTTTAGTAGGGTTTAGGTTGTTTAGGTTGTAGATAGAGTTTAGCGCTCTTCAGGGCTAGGGTTCAAGGTTCAGGGTTACCTTAATGTATGGGTACACACCTTTGATAAATCCACCGCCGGCCTGGAAAATGCCTAAACCCTGTAAACCACATCCCGAAAAGAGCAGCCGGAACACCAGACGTCCCTAAACCCTGAATACCGTCAAGAGCCAAACCCCATCTCAAACCGCAAGACCCTAAACCCCACCAAACCCCCAAATCCTGTCCAAAAGAGCTCTCAAACAAAAGCCGAGGAAACTCCAACCCGATCCTAAACCGCTGAATCCCAAAGCCCTCGTTTTGACTTGCTGTGGCCACTGCTCGGAGGCCCTTTTGACTTAGTAAGTCTACTTAGTATCCCCTAGAAACCCTATTATAATCCCCATAACCCACCTTACTAACCCTACTTACTAAGTCAAAAGGGCCTCCAAGTGAGGTACGCGAACCAAGGGGCTGGCGAGGAGTGCCTCAGGCTCGAGCTGCCTGTTTTTTGAAGTGTGGGATTCACCTACAATCTACGTTGTAGATCCTTTTTGTGGCTTCACCAGTTCTATATTTAGGATCCTAAACGGGAACCCCAACAAAGGAGCTACAATGGAGATTAGCGGTGGAGTTTAAGCTTAGGGTTTAGGGTTTGTGGGTTGAGGGCTTTTGTAGGGTGTCCTTGCTCTGCGTCGAAAGCCTGCAGTGAGCCTAGTCTTCGAGCAGCGCCCCCGAATCCTCAAGAGAATATGCCTGCGGTCTGTGTCAAGGTCAGCAAAATCGAGGGCGCGCTTTGTGCTATGGTTACATGTCACAATAGACTCAATAGACGTCGTTCCGCAGAGAATTGCGGAGACGATTCTATTCTTATTCGAGCTTGCCTCGGGATGACAACTATAGTCAACCCGTGAATAATTCTGGAGCCTAACTGTGGTTCTTGTGAGCCTGACCTTCTTGCTGGTCGGGTAACTGGGCATTTTTGTAAGATGCTGGTTCGTCACCCTCGAAATCAGCTGGACACGGTTCACGCTAGCATAGGCTTGAACTTGATCTGCGAGAGTACGTAGAAGGGCCCTTGATATAATAATTAGAAAAGGGTTTTGGGGCCCACTATACTGTATTTATGATACGGAACGCCCAAAAGAGTATTGGTAACTATTTAGGCCCCTGTGTTGAGGCAAGCCTTTAAGACCCTCCGCGGCCGCGATGGCCGCGTCTCCCGCGCGGAGGTGGGGGGCACAGCCTTTAAGCTAAGCTATGTTCATGCTGTTGTTTTGGTTTCAGAGTTTGCTTCTCGTGTCCGCTGAAGGGGAGGAAGGCTGGTCTTGGTGGCGAGAGTAGTACCATTAACTTAAAGTAACCAATGCTGCAGACATCTTTCTCAATCTAGAAGCAGCAGTTCCTCATGTTGTTGGTATCATGCAATGGTAACGGGAGCAGGTATGGTCGAAGTCGTAGCTGTCGTCGTGGTGTCGGCGCATTATTTTGGTCCAGTGGTGTGGCGGTTGTAGTCGTGCTATCAGTGTCAGTGAAATAGTAGTAGCAGTAGTAGTTGTAGTAGTAGTAGCAGTAGCAGTAGCAGTAGCAGTAGCAGTAGCAGTAGCAGTAGCAGTAGCAGTAGCAGTAGCAGTAGCAGTAGCAGTAGCAGTAGCAGTAGTAGTAGTAGTAGTAGTAGTAGTAGCAGCAGCAGCAGCAGGAGTAGTAGTAGTAGTAGTAGTAGTAGTAGTAGTAGTAGTAGTAGTAGTAGTAACAGTAACAGTAACAGTAACAGTAACAGTAACAGTAACAGTAACAGTAGCAGTAACAGTAACAGTAACAGTAACAGTAACAGTAACAGTAACAGTAGGCGTAGGCGTAGGCGTAGGAGGAGGAGGAGGAGGAGGAGGAGGAGGAGGAGTAGGAGTAGGAGTAGGAGTAGGAGTAGGAGTAGGAGTAGGAGTAGGAGTAGGAGTAGGAGTAGGAGTAGTAGTAGTAGTAGTAGTAGTAGTAGTAGTAGCAGTAGTAGTAGTAGTAGTAGTAGTAGTAGTAGTAGTAATCGTAGTAATAGTCGTAGTAGCAGTAGTAGCAGTAGTAGCTAGTAGTAGCTAGTAGCAGCTAGTAGCAGTAGTATACTCTTCCCAGGTTCCTCCACTGCCTCCGCAATTCTCAGTTTAGTACTTCATTAGTGACTTAGCGACTTAGCGTGTTGCCATCATGACAATCATTACACTTTACACTTCTCGTGTGGACATGCCAGCGGCCGAGGGTGGCTAACCGTATACCCCAATCCAGAGTCGTTACATCTGGAAGGACAAAGGGAACCCTAAACCCTAACCCTAAAGCCCAAACTCTGTGGGATTAGCAGGGCGGCAGAAGCCTGAGCCCCGAACCCCAAAAATTGATCTGAAATCACCGTTAAACTCTTGATGGGACGTGGTACAATTGCGCGAACATGTACTTATTTAGGAATCTACATACCGCCTTCGTGCCTGAATGCATGCATCCATGAAGGCATGCCTGCTACATCGAGATTTACGGACACACAAGAGATGCATGGTCAACAAACACACAGTCTAAGTACGGATTGGATATGCCATAAGTTTTGGGAGTGGCGAAGAAATTCCATCAAGAACACGAAGGCCGTGTGCAATCGACAAAGTATTCGATCAAGGACTAGAATTCCCAAAGGCTCTCTCACAGTTTAGCACAAATCTGACTGGGAATGCAAACTGGCTTCTAGACACATTCGTAGAAGCATATGCATTTTTACATCCTCAAGCACGCTTCGATGAAACCGTCCCTGCGCTTTGGAACGAAATAGCAGACACGGCCATGCGCCGCGAACCCCCTTTTAAAACAAAGGTCAACGAAGCCTGAAGGAGAGCCGGAGAGCCACCTGATAATGCGATATTACGATTAACAAATCAACGAAGATTTCACCGAAGATGTCATCGAATATGTCGTCGCTAAGCCTACGGAATCATTTCAGTGAGAGGGTTTTTTGCGATTATCACCGAAAGTTTCACCGAATATGTCATCGAATATGTCGCCGACGAAGTGACATTGTAAAGGATTATAGTCAATGATAATGCAAAACGACCGTTATCTATGATCCCTAAACCCTATCCAACTTTTCATGAGCCCCAACTCCAATATCCCTGTACACAAGCGCTTGTGGGACCCTTCAGTCTACTTGCTCGATGCGGCAGTGGTGTAGCCAAAAGTTTTCCCATCTTTTGTGCAGATCTCCGCAGATCTCCTCAGCCTCTGATAACAGATGGCTGCAATCCTTTCCCGAAGTTGAGCAACGCTCAGCGCCTTGTGGAGCTGCGTATCAGTGAGTGAGTGAGTGAGTGACTGGGAATGCCACCCTGCCAATTTCATTCGAAGGTGCGATCTGCGCTGTGTGCCAAGCAGATGTCGCTTGACATAGGATTCAGTGCACGGTGTCGTGGAGTTCAGGGATCAGGGTTCAAGCTCAATTGAATTACACTAGGGCTGCGTGCTGTGGTTCATTCAGAGATAGTTGTGATGCTCTCGGGTTAGAGAGTCTTGGATGATGTGAGCGGTTCTGTTGATTGGTGATGTCCTGAGCTGCTACAATCCTTCAGGAATGATTTTTAGCTGTTTAGCCAGACTCTTAAATATCGACGTCATGACCATGCAAAGCAGTCTAACTAACGTTTACCGTTCCCCTCTGACCGTGGACATGATTGCTTTAGACGTTTTGGGGTTCAGTTGCACAGGACTTAGCAGACCAGCTGTTCTTTTTTGGAGCTGTGTGTATTGAAACTCAGGGCCTTCGCTGGTTGATGAACATCTGCGCACCCTGCAACCCCAGTATACTAAACCATGCACAACTTCGGTTCATTGAAGCCGTGTACCTGTGTACTCATCGCTGTCTGCAGCTGCGACCCTAGCATTGCTCAGCCCCACGCATTTAATTACATCCTAAGGCCTGCGGCACCACAACACCATGTGCCTTGAAACACGTAAGCCCAAATTTTTCCAGGTACGCTTCGACTCTTTCGTGGTTGAATTTAGTGTGGAACAGACAAGTGTCCGCAGAGCCCTCCGAGCACTTCTGGGCCGCAAACCCTAGCGCGGTGAGTTTCCCCTAGTCTGCTAAACGTGAAGAGAACCTACAACCCTTGCAAAGCCCGAATACGCACAACATCCCAATAAAGAAACGGGAACGATAGTACAGCACTGATATAGAGCTGCCTAAAGCCTGTCTAGAGCCCAGTAGCCGTAAAATCCTGTCCGAACCTCGAACCCTGAACAAGCTTGACTTTACATAATATAGAAGCCTTATAATAATTAGATATACTACTTTGGGGATTCCTTAATTAATTTTGAGTATGGGACAATATTCCCCCCCCAAACCCTATTCCAATTTTTAAGGCCCCTATACTGCTCCCTTGTAGTAGCCCTTGTGGTAGCCTTTTTGGACCGCTTGGGACCCTCTAAAGGAACCCCATTCTACTCATTAAGGCCGCTATATTAGACCCTAAAGCCTTCTAGTAGCCCTTATAGACCCTTTATAAGAACCTTCTTGAAGGAACCCTATTCTAACCATTAAGGCCCCTATATTACACCCCCTATAGTAGAGCTTATGGTAACCTTTATAGACTCCCTTTAAACGGAGCCCTTCAAAGGAACCCTAGTCTAATTTTAAGTATTACAGTAGAAGCCAGAAAGTTGGAATATCATTATCGTACCCCCTTCAAGGTAAAATATAGGGGATCCTACCATTAATCCATATTCCAACTTTCTGGAGTTCCCTTTAAGGCCCCTATGTTAAAGCAAGAAGACCGAGGCAGGACCTCGGTTGTGGCAAGCAGCTCGCCGAGGCCATCTTCGAGAGAGCGCAGGGCACTTGCAACTATAGCTACTTAAGGGGTCATGGGACCTTTAAGGGATCTATAGGGGTATGGTACTATAAGGGTTTAGGGTCTACTTAAAGGATCATGGGACTTAGTAACTGGGCTCATAAATAAGGTAACTCTACTTGTAATTACTGATAGCCCCAATTAAGGTACTTATAACCGTACTTATTAAGTCCTATGATCCTCCAAGTAACTACCCAGAGGCTCCATAGTAGTTCCTTTTTGGGATTACCTTATAGGATTCTATATACGAGCCCCAAAAAGCAACTACTTCGGAGCCTCTGGGTATAGCTAGCCTGGGGATCCGAAAACCTACCGTTTTAAGAACTTCTGCCCTCGAATTGAGGGGTCGTAACCTACTATTTTGTAGGGTTTGGTGATACAGAGGGAGCTAAGGAGCCAGGGATGATGATAATCCCTATTAAATATGAGGAGCTAAAGAGCCAAGGGAACCCCCAAAACCATTTTTTAGAATAGACTTTGGAATTATGTGGAGGGGTTTCGGGTGTAAGGTGTGGGTGTGAGGGTTTCTGGATTGAGATGTGGGCTTCAATCATGGTGTAGGGGTGCATGGTGTAATTAGTTAGGGTGCAGGAGTGCTCAGGCATGCTTACAGGGCTTGTGCGAAAGCAATCCTTTACCATAGGGGGATGGACCAAGCGAGAGCAATTGGGCCGGGCAACTTCCGCGCTTCATGGAACCCGGGTCCAGAACGCCCCCCATGCTCCAAGGTGACCGACGCCTAAGAAATAGCTACGTACCCATGTGTGTGCGATCTAATTATCTGCTGGTATATCTAAGTAGCCAATATTATTCACCTGCAATGTATATGTGCCGTGTGGCACCCTTCCCCCCCCAAGCCTTTACTCCAGCACTCGAACCCTAAAATGCCCTAAACTCTGAGCCCCGTTCGAGCTAGATCCTGCATCCCTGAATCCTAATCTCCACCCCGCCCAACTCTGCAGGACATTGCTGCGATATTCCCGCCTAACGAGCGGCTGAGCTTTGAACGCTTCCAGGCTCATCTGTCTCTTTTGACTCTCCATGCCCGGCTTCGGGGGCTTTCGAGACGCTTTTTGGGTGTTGGGTGGGGTTTAGGTTTTGAGACCCGGGTTTTATGGTTTGGGCTTAGGCTTGAGGGTTGTGCGCTTCGGGTTTTGGACTTTCAAGTTAGTATGGTCCGCAAAGCCCCTGAGACTTCACACGCCCCCATCCTTCACAAGAACAAATGATGAAAAAAAACACGACAAGCCCTATAGCCTATATCTTCAACCCGGCGTGTACGTAATGCATTTATAGTAGGATCCCTAACAGGATTTAAGGAGTATTCCTAATTAAGGGATATTGGAGTCTCTGGGGGTACAAAATGCGACAGAAAGGCCGGTAAAAGCAGCTTCCTGACAGCATCGGGCCTAAAACCCTTTACACCGTAAAGCATGAACGTCATACTTACCTAGAGGCTCCATAGTAGTTCCTTTTTGGGATTACCTTCTAGGATTCTAAATATGAACCCCAAAAAGGAACTACTATGGAGCCTCTAGGTAAACCCTGAACCCTGAACCCTACCTAGACCCCCCAACTACCCTCTAATATACCCTAAATACCCACTATTAAGGGCCATAAGGGCCATAAGGGCTCTATTAAAGGGTACTTGGGGGGGTCCTGGTAAACCGAAGACCAAGAGAGCTCCTCGCGTATCCAGCATGGAAACCGTCGCGTAAGCAATCGGACCTGCTGGCGCCCGAGGACGGAGCGATTCCCAGACCTTCCAAAATCCCTTAGTTAAGGAATATACCTTAAATTATAATAGGATCCCTAATATGAATTAAGGTATATTCCTTAATTGAGGGATTTTGGAAGGTCTGGGTTCTCCTTCATCGAGGGGGCGTTCGCGTTCCGCTCCTGTTAGGGAGCGTGGGCCTATGGTCGAAGAGCAGGCTGAGGAGGATTTCCTCGATCGGCCACTTGCCAGCTATCTTCTGAAGGCTTCATTCCACGTGAGTGACTTGGTGCCCACCGTCCAAGTCACGAATCCGAGGGCGATGTCTGCGTTAACGCGCTGGGGCGTCTCCGTCGGAAGAGGGAACGTGGTGGCCCGCTACAATTTGGGAGTTTCAGAAGATAGGGGACCCTACTATAGTACCCTAAATAGCAGGATCCTATTATAAGGGCCCCAAAATAAGGTACCCGTAGTTTTCGGAAACTCCCATTTGTTGACTCCCTAGGCGTCAGACCCAAACGCCTAAACTCTCCAGGCCCAGTTCCCCAACGCCCCAGCAAAAGACCCCTAAACTCCCAAACCCCTAAACCCCTGAACCCAAACCCCCCAAACCCCCCAAACCCCCTAAACCCCCTAAGCCCCCTAACGCCTAACCCCTAAACCTCCTAAGCCGTCAGGAGTGCCTGCAGAAGCACGAGGACCTGGGTCCCAGCGCCTCCTTGCAACTCTCCTCCGGCCGTGGCGAGGTCGGTTTGGAGTTTGGGTTTAGGGTTTGGAGTTTATGGTTCAGCGTTCGGTGGTTAGGGTCTAGGGTTTACGGGTTGGGGGTTAGGCTTTGGGAGTTAGGGTCCAGGTTTTAGAATTTTAGGGTTTATGGTCTGGAGTTGGGGGAACCCTACGGTGAAGCCGAAACCCTAAGGAAGCCTGAAGAAGGAGTAATACTGTCCACTTATAGTCCTTGTTAAAAAATACCTAAATCTTCGGGGAACTCTACGGTGAAACCTGAAGAAGGAGTATGACTGACCACTTCTACTGTTCTACTCCTTACAAAAGTGCCCCGAAACTTTGTCCCTACGAATTCAGCCAACTACTGCCGCCCCGGGGCCAAAGTGAGGACTAGGGCTCGGGTTTCGGTTGGTCCTTCGAAGTTGTTGTAGGCGTGGGGCTCCTTGTGCTTGAGGCTTTGGAGCGTAGCAGGACAGGGATGACATCAGAGCTTAACCCTAAGGCTCTAAGGACTCATATATTCATGCTTTTGGGCCCAAAGACCATACCATATAAGGCTTTTCGGCTATTTTGAGCCTTAGGGTAAGTGTGCAATGTGGGGTCATGGGTCAAAGGTTCTGACGGCGTAAGATTTGCAATGGTTTGCGGTTTGACGGGGCTTGGGGCTTTTCTAGCCTTCTCGGGTTTGGCATTCTACGGTTCGGTTCGAGGTTTGTGGACGCAGGGACGGGTTCGCAGTATGTGCGAGTTCACATGTTCAAGGGCGAGAAGAGAAAACCGATGTCTCATGCAGTTTTGCGGTTTAGGGTTTGGCGGTCTAGGGTTCCGGGTAGTTTCGCTACGTGCTCGCACCTCTTTGGTCAAAGCAGGCATGCTTTGAGAACTTGGACCCTTTGGACCTTCGGAGTTCGTCACTCATTCAACCAATCAACCCATCGAATCAACCAATCAAGCCAGTCAGTCAAACTGACAAACAAGCAAGCAAGCAAAGAGACAAGCAGTCAAACAAACAATTAATCAAACAAGCACACGAGCATACAAACAAGCAACATGCACATGCAACTTAGTGAATAACTGCGGGAGCAAGTGCATGCATGCGTACACCGCCTAAAGAAGCACATACATATGTACACACATACGGTCACATACATACATACATACGTACATACATGCATACATGTACTTACAGGCAAGCATCCATACATTCATGCCAGCATGCAGCCATATGTACATCTGACCCCCTTCACCCCCCGCCCTCCCCCCCGAAGCTCCACGAATCAGTAGTCCAAAGGCCGTGCCGCGGACCTGGGCCCCCTGGGCCCGCCGAGGCCAGTTTCCTTGCGCTGAGGTGGTTTCTTGAGATGGGTTAAGGGCTGAAAGGGTTTTAGGGTTGAGGCTTGAGTTTGGGTTTCTGAAGGGCTTCTTGACATTAGGGATGTTTCTGGGAAGGATCCTACAGTTTTTTGGGACCCGGTTTCAGGGTGCCCGGTTTGCTGAAAGTCCTCGTCAGTTGACATAGGGGCCTCCATGATTAGAACAGGGTTTTGCGGCGGTATATCGCAGATTAGGGACAGGGTCCTAAGGAGTAATGCAGGATAATATGGGTAATTCTTCGAGCTTCTATCTATTTTTGATATTTATTGATGTCCAGGTTTCCGAGTAGCTTCGAACTTTTGGCTGTGATCCCATGGATTTCTTCAAGAATCCTGTGCGTTCTTCGTGTTTGCCCGTCTCCCCATTCGTTTAAGACTTTGCGGGCTTGTGTTTGCCTTTGGTAAATGGAGTCTAGAGCTTGGCGTGCATGGTGGGTCGTTCCTTGCTTGCTGCCTCGAGCCCTAAACCCCGAATTTCTGAAGCTGCCCCTGCTACCGTATCTGTCTTCCCGGCATCTTATCATCCTACTTGGAGGCCCTGTTGACTTAGTAAGTCTACTTAGTATCCCCCAGAAACCCTATTATAATCCCCATAACCCAGCTTACTAACCCTACTTACTAAGTCAAAAGGGCCTCCAAGTATGCTTGAAGCCATGAGACCCCAACCTTACACGTTGGGCTCCCCCGGAAAATGAGGCTGAAGTCCCCGAGGCGGGCCCAACATCTTCAGCCCAAATCTGTGTCGTCCGTAGGCAGACGTACCGCTCAGAGTAAATCGAAACTTCCTAAACCTTGCGGTTTAGGGTTCGGGGCCTTAATAAGAGCTTCAAGTGTAGAATCGTCGAGAAGCCTTGGACGATCTAGGTTTCTAGAACCCGTATATGAACCTCATATAGCCGTCGTCAGACCCCTTTTGCAGCTGAACTTATGTACAACCAGTCGGGGATCCGATTGTGGACTCCAAGCCCCAAACCCGTCTAAACGTCTCTCAAGAACCCTTGTAATGTCAGAGACTCTGATAACACCACCATGGAACCCTTCTAAGTCGACCGGCTACAGGCTCGGACTATGACGAAAATGACTCCGACCTGGATGATAGCGAGGAGAAGCGGGGAGCCAAGACGGATGCGGCAAGTCTGTCCGAAGACTGAGGACCCAGAGAGCCCAATACCCCTTAAAAAGGACTATAACTTAAATTATAATATGAAGCCCCCTATAATTCAAGCCATATTCCTTAATTAAGGGGTATTGGGCTCTCTGTGGATGCCCAAAAAGGTGGAGTTTTGCGGCTTTTCATTGGGGTTCATAAGGCTTTGGTTCGGGTTTACGTAGGAGCTGTTGCGTCTGCAAACACGGCACCAAGCATGCGCTGGGGGTCTCGGTTGCACCACCACTGTTCTAAATCTTCACGTCTGCTATGATGCTGTTTTTGCCATGGCGAGTGTGTTTATAAGTAGTCAGACCGCCGAGCTTCGGCCCCCCGCTGCAAGGCAGATCCCCAAGGCCCAAATCCCTAAGCTCTTCACCCCGGGTGTAGGGTTTAGGGTTTAGGGCTTAGGCTTTATAGGGCTTACGCTTTAGGGTTTAGGCTTCAGGGTTTAGAGGGTTTAGGGTTTAGAGGTTTAGGCTTTAGGGTTTATAAGGGTTTAGGGTTTAGAGGTGTAGGCTTTAGGGTTTAGGCTTTAGGGACCCTCATACAAGGGCCGTAAGGCCGTAAATATTAGAGTAGGCGTAAGTCCGTAAATATTGGAGTAGGACTTTTGGGCATAATTACTATGCCATATTTCTGGAGGGTCCCTGAAAGCCAGAATAGGGTTTTGGGGTGTGTTATGGTATGTATAGGGCATAGGGGCCTCCAAATTACAAGGTTTTGTTGGGGTACCGTATACTATGACTGTGATAAGCAAGCCTCCCGACAGTCTCCATTGTAGTTCCCGATTTTGGCCGAACTTTTTCTACATTCAGGACCCCGAAAGGTAACATCCCCAAAAAATACATTGGAGACCATACTAAACCCCCTAAAGTAGACTTTATGATAACTTTTATAGACTCCCTTTAAACGGAGCCCTTTAAAGGAACCCTAGTCTAATTGTTAAAAAACTACACTAGGCCCTAAACCCTAAGTAGTTTCATTCTTCTTGCTCTGAGCGCTCGGTCGCTGAGGCCCAGCAGAGATATCTTGGGCGCCCCGCCAGCGCGTCGTAGTTTCTTTTTGTGTTTAGGGTGTTTTAGTTGTTTTCAGGGTTTGGGGGTCTCGGATATAGGGGTTTAGGGATTTTTAGCCGTCAGTTCTCTGAGGATTCGGGGTTGAGGCTTTGGGTTCGCGTGGGGTTGGTGTGGGTTTCTGCTGTGGGTGGTCGGTTAATGTTTGAGCCTGCGAGTTTGGGGCAAAGCCTGACGTGGTGGCGATGATGATTTGGATTCTGGTGGTCGTCAATTTAGAAGAGCCCATGGTATCGCTGATATCTAGTGTACTTGCGTGTATCAGCTGGAAACATTTCTACAACACTGCTACTGTTATATAGACTGTAACTAGATCATGTGGCTGCGCTTCTTCAGTGGATGTTTTGCCTTTTCGAGACTTCTAAGAAGTTGAGGATGAAGCTGGGTTTGGAGCCTTCAGGGGAAGCCTCGTCTTCCTATGAGAGGTCTCGTTTTCACGTGCAGGGTGGCGAGGGTGTTTTTTGTGCACGATGCGTTCATGGTGATGAGAATGCCTCAGCTTCTACATTCGATGCCCTCCTTCAAGGGGTCTTAGTACCGTTCGAAAACGGGGTGCACGTTTTCAGCATAGAGTTCAGGAGTTTAGGGTTTAAGGTCAACCCAAAGGCCCCATAGTAGTTCCTTCTTGGGATTACCTTATAGGGTTCTATATATGAACCTCAAAAAAAGGACCTACTTTGGGGCCTTTGGATAGGGCATTCGAGTGTAGATTCGGAGTCTAAGCTATGGGGCATGATTTCAGGGCTTGTTTTTCTCAAAATCGAGGTCCTTTGCCTTGGCTCTTGCAAAAACCCTGCCAGGGTCTAGTGCATACCTAGAAACTCCATAGCAGTTCCTTTTTGGGATTATTTTATAGGATTCTAAATATGAACCCCCAAAAGGAACTACTATGCAGCCTCTAGGTATTGCGTTGCGGGTTTAAGGCTCAATTCTGAAATCATAGTCAGGAATCCCCTAGTATTCAAGGGATATTCCTCAGAGGGACGAAGTTTCCGATCCGTAGAACGAAGAACCTCATGATACTATTTATTGAACGCGCAAGCCGCGATACTACTGAGGTTTACTGTTCCGACTCCTGAACCCAGCGAAAGATGCGCTCAGGTGGACTGTGCGCCTGCATCCACAGCTGCGTCATGGAGCGATCCCCCCCCAACGGATTTCCGACTTTTAGGGTTTAGGGTTTAGAGTTTAGGGTTCAGGGTTTAGGGTTTAGGATTTAGAGCTTAGGGTTTAGGGTGTAAGGCCTACTGAACCCTGGAAGTACTGGGTTATTGTGTTAGACCCCCAGTAACCCCTCTCAAAGAAGGCTCGCCTTACCGCTCCCTCCGGAACAGCTTGGAACTCGAAGTACTATAGGCGCCTTCATAAGTACCTACACTGTTTGGGGGGGGGTTCCTATTATGAGTATAGTATAATATGCCCCAAAACCCTATTCTGATTGTTAAGGCCCCTAGACCAAGACCCCTTATAGTACTCCTTATAGATCCCTGTTCAAGAACCCTTTAAAGGGAACCCTGTCCTACGTATTATTTCCTTTATATTACCCTCAACCCTGAACCACCTTCTTCCTTCAGCACTCAAAGCCACAATCGCTCGTCGTGTCTCGGACTTGAAGCCGTCAACCCTACCCCCAAGGGTCCAAAGGACCCAATGATCAGGTACTTGGGTTCAGGATAGTGTATAGTTATGTAGGTTAATATTTGAGAGAGTTTATGATTATTGGGTACTTGGACCCTTACCCTAAGGCTCAAAATAGCCCGAAAGCCTTATATGGTATGGTCTTTGGGCCCAAGAGCCTTAATATATGCGTCCTCAGAGCCTTAGGGTCAGGGTACTACTCAAGGCTTCCTGCGTCGGGTTTGGGGGGGGGGGGGGTTGATGCTTTCGCGCTGAGGGGACGAGAGCTCGGGGATGCGATTTTTGTCGGGACTTGTGGTGGGTTTCAGGGCTTTAGGTATGGGGTTTAGGGATTTAGGGTTTAGGGCTTTGGGTTTAGGGCTTTAGGTTTAGGGTTTCAGAGGTTCCGCCATAAAAAAAAAACACATCGCAGCCGAAGACCTACCGGAACTCTTGCGTCCTGGAAGCACCAACAAGTTACATGTTTCAATGGCCTTTTGGGTTCGACAAGATCTTCATAGGGCGGTAGCTGGCGAAAATGATTTAAGGTTTAGCGTTCAGCAGAAAAAGGATGCAAGCTTCAGGCAGTGGGATGCAAGCTCCATGAGATTGATAGAACTTACGTTTGGTTACTAGGGAATCCTCCATTCCCTACTTTCCAAAGTTAAGGAAAGGGGTTGGTTAGGGTTGAAAGCAGCAGCAGCCCTAAACCCTAAACCCTAAACCCCTAAACCCCTAAACCCTAAACCCTAAACCCCTAAACGGAAGAGGGTGGTTTAACTTGGAGGGAAGACTCCTTGGGCTGAGGTTAACTCGGCGTATGCATTGGATGTATTCATGAAAGTGTGGGTTTAGGGTTTAGGGTTTGGGGTTTTGGGTATTGGGGTTAGTGTGTCTCCGACCCAAAAGGTAATACAATATTATTACACCTAACTGGTTGGGATACATTTGGTGTAGTGCGCTTGGAGCCTCAGTATCACCCTTGGCTCATGTTTACATGTTTCCGATATAAACATTGACATGGACAGCTGCTGCAGTGTTAGCTTTTCCGGGTCTTGTGGTTGATATGAGTGCGCTCATGGTGACCGAGATACCCTGGCTCTTACCGGGATATGTTTTCGTATACCCCGCCAGCATTACAGAGTATGCCCTACTCGTGATGTGGATCCTTTGTTTCATGTATGTTCGAGTGAATTAGCGATTTACCGTTGTCCTGAAGGAGCCGGTTCTGCTTGACGAGGCGGAGCAGGATGGGCATTTTGTTGTAGCCTAATAAACCCGAATGACTACCTACAATATTCCTCAGCTGGGTTCCTGCCTATGGTTACAGCATAAGAAACCCCGCAACCCTGTTCTAATCATGTGGGAGTTTCCGAAAATAGGGGGTCCTAATATAGTACCCCAAATATTAGGATCCTTACAATAAGGGCCCCCAAAATCAGGTACCCCTAGTTTCCGGAAGCTCCATGTAGGGTCTATTCGAAGTCTTCCGGAGATTGGGTGTTCGGGAGTTACCCATAGGCCCCATAGTAATTCCTTTTTGGGATTACCTTATACCGAAAAAGTGAACTACTACGGGGCCTATGGGTAAAGACTTGAAAGAACAAGACAACAATCGAACGCTACTGGAGCTTCTTTTTTGCAGCGCAGATTTGTAGCACAGGTGTACAAGCCTCTGGGCACGCAGCCGTGAAGGACTGTGCTCCAAACACAGACTCATTCTGCCATGTAATCGCCGCTGTTCGGCAGCATGGCATCAGCAAGACGCATTCGCACAAGTTTATCTAGTCCATCACAGCCCTGGACTTGTCGCGAGCACCCTTAAACCCAAAACCCCGGAACCCTCAACCTTAGACCCCACCTGGACGCCCCAACTGCCCTTTACTGTAGCCCCGATTTATACCTCTTAATGAGAAATATCAGAGCCCTTTATGGGGCACTTGGGGGGTCTAGGCAAGCCCGAGGAAGGGCGGCCAAAAGTTTGTTCAGGGGAGAGTGGGAAACCTGATCTTGCAACTCGAAGCAGAGGTATTGGTTGTGGCTGTTACCTTAACCCGGAATAACCTACATTTTTTCAGGACTTATAAATAAGGAACCCTAAAATGGTAGGTTTTTCAGGGTTAAGGTAGGATTTAGGACACAGGGTTTGGGGTTTAGGGTTTGGGTTGCAGCCTTCAGGATATAGGTTTTGGGGTGGAGGATTAGTAGGATTTGGCAATTAGGGTTAGAATGTCGGGTATACCTGGAACCCAATGTATGTAGACTAATTATAGTTGCCTTTTTATGGGTGTTGGGCTATTAGTTTAGCCACTTTTCGCGGTTCGGGTACGGGTAGGCATCGTCAGATGACGGCAGGAGATTCCCGTCCCAGACAGAAACGAGCAAAGAGCGCGCGACTCGGCGGCAAGCACCCTGAAGGGAGGCTCATGTTCCAGTTCAGGGTTCAGGGGTTTTTCCGTGGCTCTTAGGGAATGAATGGGGACTGGTTCATATGGGCTACTACCTTTCGTGCTCCTGGGAGTTCGTCTTTATTTCACCGTCGATGCAGCTTCAAGGGATTATGAAAGATACCTTTTATTTTGATGCTAAGGACGCATACTTGGAGGATCATGGGACTTAGTTTTCAAGGTTATAAGTACCTCAACTGGGGTTATAAGTAGTTATAAGTATCGTTACCCTAATTATAACCCCAATTACTAAGGCCCATGATCCTTTAAGTAAGCTTTAAAGGGACCCTTATCACCGTCATAGCGTCGTACAGTGTGCACGAATGTCCGGGCACACTTGATACGACAGCACCAAAAAAGCAATATTCCGGCGCACATATACCTCCTACCGACAACCCCTGCATGGTCATAACATTGACAGGGGTTGGGTTCTAATCTGCTTATTACCCTAAGGCTCAAAATAGCCGAAAAGCCTGACATGGTATGGTCTTTGGGCCCAAAAGCCTTAATATATGAGTCCTTAGAGCATTAGGGTTCTGCTATGATGATGCAGCGGAGAGAAACAGAAGGAGCCTGAGGATACAGAGAGCCTCAGTGCCGCGAGTTTCGGAGTGGACAAGATATAATATAGCTAAAACCATGAGTCGTCCTTGCTATGGTTCACTTATGGGTTAATCCTTGCCTGAAGCCTTTATAGGTTTTCCTCATCAAGCTTAGAGCCTTGTAACAATCGATCGCTTGGGCGGCGCCCTTTTGCGGCATTCGAGGCCTTTTCTCGCGGTCGAAGCTTGCGTCTTCGCCGGTTGCGTTTGCCGTCCTGATTTGTGTGGCAGCTGTGATCCAAAAAAACTCAGTTCCACTCTCCCTTCTTGATGTAATGCAGATGCCTAAATAATCACCCACATAATCTTTAGGGTTCACATTTATGACTCTATGACAGCCCCAAACCCTATAAGGCTCTATAGCAAGCTCTTCTTCTTGATGTGTGCCTGTAGCCGCAGCCAAGGAACAGCATGATCCTGATGCATCAAGACTCCACATGTCTCACTGCGTTTTTTGCTACAGCGTGGCTTTGTTTCATCTCAAATCCTCGCCCAAACCGCCGGCCATTACCTCTTAACTATTTCTTCCCCACTCACCGCCTTTGGCACTTATCCCCTCAAACCCTAAACTGTAGTCTGTGCGGAGATGCAGGATTTGACGATGTTTCATAGTTTCATACGTCGTTTTTAGTTGAATCTGGGTTCTAAAGGAATGAATTCTGTGTGTGCGGATATTCTTGCTTCAGCTTCTCGTATTATGAAAAAACTGTTATGGCAAGTCTGGTCTCTAGGTACTTCAGAACCCAGTTGGGCTTGGCAGGCTGGGCAATACAGGCGCTCTATGCAACCCCCGTATCTCTCTTCTGCGCGAAGCTTGATTCATGAAGTCCTTAGGCTTTACCTAGAGGCTCCATAGTAGTTCCTTTTTGGGATTACCTTATAGGATTCTATATATATATATATATATATATATATATATGAACCCCCAAAAAGGAACTACTATGGAGCCTCTAGGTAAAGAGTGTAAAGGGTACTATGGGGCCACTGTGGTAGCTTCCGTAAACCCTTAGCCGAGCTTTCGGCCCTGGCCTGGCAATCCTAAGAGCAAGGCTCCAAGAGATGTAGGTTTGGGGTGTAGTGGTTTGGGAGTTTCCGAAAATTAGGGATACCATATTTTGGGGTCCTTATAAGAAGGATCCTGCTATTTAGGGTACTCCATTAGGGCCCCCTATTTTCGGAAACTCCCCTTTAGTTTGGTACCGGTTCCGGAGTTGAAGCATGCTGCGTGTTTGTTTAGGGACCCAAGAAGCACATAAGCATAAGCCTTTTATAGGGAAATCCCTACCTTATTGGGCTTCATTATACGGGGGTTTATATGGGATATCCCTATCCTAATTTTTGCTTATGTGCTTTTTGGGGCCCCTATTTGTGGTTGTAGGACTACAACACCAGCGAAAGATGCAGCGCTTGGAGGGTCGGGGGACTTAGTAGCTGGTTATTTTAGGGACTTATAAGTACCACAATCCCAATTAGGGTTCCTTTTAGGGTACTTATAAGTCTACTTACTACATACTTGCTAAGCCCCCCGACCCTCCTACAGGAGACTGAACCCGCCGAAGCCCGAGATGAGCACCGCCTTCGCGCACCCAAGCCCAGATGCTTAAACCCTACATTGACCCAGTGGTTTCTCGTGAAATGGACACAGACAACAAGCATGGTCGGCCCCCTAAGCCCAAGAAACACACCAAGTACCCAATAATCACATACTCTCCCAAATACTAACCTACATAACTACTATCCTAAAGCCGAGTACCTAGTTATTGGGTCCTTGGACCCTTCGGGACAGGACAACGGAGCGGCCCACTTTGCACAGCCTGTAAATGCCTTTTTCCGTCGCCTGGCTATGTCAAAACCTTCGGAGCCGAAGCGACGGAGTTGACAGGACATGAGCCCTTGACTAATGTTTGATGTGTGTATATATATACACATAAATTACATACATTATATATATATATACACATATACACATGAGCTTATGATAGCATACTGTGTGATAACAACATGTTGGAATATAATATAGTCTAGTATTGTCTTGTATAAGTTTACACAACCGGAGGCCCAAATTTAGCCTTGGGCTCACATCGGTCCTGAGACTACTACTGAGTAGACTGCAACAGCCGTTCAGAGAGCTACGCTACTCTGAAGCTTTCGAGACTGAAGCCCTGAAGACTGGTAGTAGTAGCAGTAGTAGTAGTAGTAGTAGCAGCAGTAGGAGTAAGAGTAGGGTGGTGGCGGTGGTGTCGTGGTAGTGGTGGAGGTAGTGGTAGTGGTAGTGGTGGTGGTAGTGGTAGTGGTAGTGGTAGTGGTAGTGGTAGTAGTAGTAGTAGTAGTAGTAGTAGTAGTAGTAGTAGTAGTAGTAGTAGTTGTAGTTGTAGTTGTAGTTGTAGTTGTAGTTGTAGTAGCAGTAGTAATAGTAGGAGGTAGTGGTAGAGGTGGTGGTGGTGGTGGTAGTGGTGGTGGTGGTAGTGGTGGTGGCAGAGGCAGTGGCAGTGGCAGAGGTAGCGGTAGGCCATAACAGACTCGAGCTAGCACACAAAGCCCGAATCAGGGTTTGGGTTTAGGGCTTTCGAGGTTCAGGGCTTGCTATAGGACCTCAATAATTAGGAAGCTAGGTATACTATGTTAGGGGGTCCTTATTATAGCTATAGTATAGTATACCCCAAACCCCTCTTGCAACTATTAAGGCCCGTATATAAAATCAACACTCCCATAGTACCCCTTATAGTAATCCTTCTAACGGCTTGTGTTTAGGGGTGCGGGGCTTACAGGGTCTAGGGTTCCTTCTTGACCCTCTGAAGCCAAGCTGAGCAGTCTGTTCGGAGAGGGCTGGGGTTCCCAGTTGTCGTTGGAGGCTGGAGGCCTGCCCCAAGGACCTGGGCTCTTGTTACGGAGTTTAAAAACTGAAGCTGCCATAATAAAAATAACAAAGAGGAAAGCCTATCATGTACTATAGATAACTACTAATCATGGTAACTTAGTTTAAGTTCCGTAACAAGAGCCAAGAGGATTGTTTCGCCGTTTCAGGCTACTTTCTGGCCTATGCCAGCTCCGCACAAAGCCGGCAAAAGTGTGTGGTTAGAGTGTGTCTCCTGGTTCAGGGTGCAGGAATTGTAAACCCTAAACCGCTGTAAACCAAGAACCCTATACACCCTGGACAAATGGTCCCCGTCGACGTTTGGTGCTTCAATTACGGCGACCGAATATGCCTGGAAGTAGGATTTAGTGAAAAGGGTTCCTTACATGTGTCGTGCACATATCTCTTATCATGGAGTCGAGTCCCCACCAACATCGCCGTCATGCTCCTCGCCACCACTCGTCTAGTAACCTAGTACCATGAGAGCCACACCGCAGACGACGACGGTGACTACCACTTCGTACTTGTGGTGATGGTGGTCGTGGTGTTGGGTTGCTGCTTTTGGTGCTGCTGCTGCCATTCCCTAGGGCTCCAGTTACTTAAATAGTAGGTTGCTGGGGGTACTTAGCATATGGTCAGTAACCTACTACTATTTGGGCAACTGGAGCCCTAGGGATTTTCTTGCGTCGGTCATTGTTCGAGTGCACTCCTGGAGAGTCTTGACATGAGCGGCCAAAATCCAAAACGCTTAGCCCGGATTTCGTGAAATCAGAACCCAGCGATTGCTGTAACATCGGGGCTGCATACTTACCTGAAGCATTCTATAAAGACTACTATAAGGGCTATGATGAGGATTCAGAATTAGAACAGGGGCCTAAATAATCACCAATAGTATTTGGTGTTCCTTATTATAATTATAGTATATTTGGCCCAAAACCCTGTTCTAATTATTAAGGCCCCTTTCGTGCAGGTTGTGCAGTTGATGACCCCTTGTCCCCATTCTGGCATACCCTTATAATGCCCAAGCCAGCATATGCCCAAACGCTTTCAATAGTCAGAGACACATCATGTAAGAACCATAGCAATGTTGCCTGTACGCCTAGCACAAACAAGTTTAAATCGCAAAGAAAAACTTACGAGCAATCGGTGCGCACCTAGATGCCCCAACTGTCTCCACTAAAGCCCACGGCGAAAGAAAAAAAACACCTCCGTTCAAGATTCTTTTAGTGTACATGTCACCTCAATCCTTAAACCATCCCGTGTCTCCCTCTAAACCCGAAGCCCTAGCAAATCACCGTGGAAGCGCTCTCACTTTCGAAAACCACCTACAAAGTGCAAGAGAAGCCTTCTCAGTCTTATCTTCCAAGCAAGCCCGAATCCAAGGCCCACTTCAAAAGCCTGTGAACTTGCAGAAAGCCTAAACCCTCAACCCTATGGAAGGAAGCATCTAATAAAGAAGCATAAAGACTAAATTGCCAATATTATTCCTGAGGGCTCCTTAGTACAGTTATAGGACAATAGCCCCTAGTCTAATTTTAGGCCCCTCTATTAGCAGATCAGGGCTCGGACACCATCAACGTGCTGATCACCGCCGGTGCCGATCTTCGACACGTGGCAAGGGACCCGGGTCACGCAAACAGCCCTGAAAGCAGCCCTGGGTAGGATGCTGGGTACTGCAGAAGCCCGAGGGACTACCAAAATTATCAGAAGCCCGAAGAACTACCAAAATTCATTCCTGAGCTCCTCGTTATGCTTATACCATAGTATACCCCAACAGCCTATTCTCATTCATGGGGGTCTGTGTATGGAATATGTTGTGTTACAGGGCCAAGGTCGGTTCCTACATTACCGACTCCTGCGCCCCCACCCCTTCAACCCAAAGCATATGTTCAATTTAGGAGCTGTTGGCTCCCTTCTATCTAGGCCTGGCACCAAGCCCTAAAGATCAGAGTATGGCCGCTAATTTTCTAGTATACTCGCTAAACCCTGATGTTTTGAAGCTCCCAAGTAAGACAAGGTCAAGACTCTGGCACGGCGGCGGAGACAGGAGCTTTCCGTTGGACTTTTCTTACCTTGGGTTAGTAGGGAAGGTAGGAATGGAGTACAAGTATAACTACTATTACTACCATTCTTCCATTCCCTACTAGCCAAAGGGAAGTTTTTCGGAGGTTTGGGGGGCTTCGGGTTGATAGGGCTTTGGCGTAGTTCTTTGCACGGCTTCGGGGTTAGGACCTATTTTCAAAGGGTTTGCGCGAGAAGAAGGATGGAATAGGACGAAAGTTACACAATTCAGCTATAAGCCAGCATGGCTCCATGACCCTCAACCCTCAAGACCTTGAAACCCTAAACTCCTAAACGCCCCACCCGAAAACCCTAAACCCTCAGGACCACATGCAAGCCGCTGGCCCTTTGTCCGTTTAGGGTCCTGGGTATATAGGGTTTTTAGGTGTTACGGTTGATAACATATGGGAACTATGGTACGCTCCTTATTATGGGTAATGCAGGATTTGTATCATCAACCGCAGGGTGTAGGGGTGCCGGCTAAGACCGAAGTCCCGAAG